GAGAGAGAGAGAGAGAGAGAGAGAGAGAGAGACTGCCGCGGCGGAGGACTGAACCCAGGGCCTCGAGGGTCAGAGTCCCTATGCACTGGACTATCGTGGTAGTTGCATAAAGGCTAGGTGTAAATCTATTTGAATGGATCACCGCGATGTAGGTGTGCTAGCGCGCGCGGGTGCTTGCATGCGAACGCGCTGTGTGTGTGTGTGTGTGTGTGTGTGTGTGTTGTGTGTATGTGTATGTGTGTGTGTGAGACTATTCATTCATTTAATGGCATTACAATGTATAAATGTACAATTAGGCTTACTTGAAGAGAACACATATTATAAAATAATGAGGCAGAGGTTATCAAATTAAAACACATTTCGTAAAATCGTAAAAGTATGACTAAAACACTAACATTAAGACATTAACATAAGGTAGTTAAAAAACGGGGAATAACAATATATCGTCCGGAGAAATTACCACTATGCATCATTAATGACGTCTGGGTAAATTACTACAGGTAGCCTAGCATAAAAGTCATTGTTTAGATTGAATATAACTCGCCAGTTAGAGACCCTGTATTTCTAATCTCTTTAGGAATCGAATCTTATTCCAGAGAAGACAGCCGCTTGCCATTACCATTTTCATACTACTTGTGATATTAGTCCTTGAGACGAACAAATCATTACTTGGACTTGTATTTGTGCCTCAAATTTCACCAACAGTTGCTAGATTATAGAGCCAGCAGGGTAACTGATTATCCATTATCTTAAAAACCAAGACAGGTTAAACACGTCATCCACTTTTAGCTGTTCCAGCTGCCTAAGTGCGGGGGTTGCATGACGATGCTCTCTTCGAGCTCCTACGGCTACCTTTGCTGCGAAATTTTGGTCTTTGAACGAGAATCTCTCTCCGTGTTTTGTTTGTGGCTCCCCATATCCTCGAGCAATGAACTGTGAGGCTAAGTATTAGAGCAGTGTCCCCAAACTTTATCATTCTGTTGCTCCTAACCAATTCAGTTATTAATAAGGCCCCCAAAATTCACAGTATATTTTGCCGAAATAAATACCGACAAAAAATTATCGCTAAATTCCCGTCTACCACAAATCTAAACCCTGGTTTTCAGAAATACCGCCAATACACAACTGTTAGCGCTACAACGGATAGATTAATAACTACCAAAACACACTAAGCAAATCTTGGGACTGCATCGGACTGCATCAAATCTATTGGCACAAGCCGTTGAACGGCGATACTGCCTAAGGCGAGCGTGCATCATCTCGATATCAAAACGGCAGCCCTCTGACTGAGGTTTTAAAAAAATAAGATTTGTATTTTGTATTCAAACCTTAGTTTTATATTTACAGTGTGGTATATAGTTCTGGGAGCAGGGTTTAGAGTGAGGTGGTGTCCATGAACAGGTTCATTATATCACTCCTCAAAATAAAATAAAAATCTAAAAAAAAAAAAATCCCGACCTAGCGACCCATCTCCAGAGAGAGTCTGTTACCTGAGCCGAAGGTATTTTCTTTTTTACTTTGCTTAAATATGAATAGTGTAATGGCATCAATGTTTCTAAGACAAGGCCACTTCATGAAAAGGTTTGAATTCATTGATATGTGAATGATTATATATAGGAACCATAGGTAAGATAAAATTCAGTTTAATTCGACGTCAAACTTTTCATTTTGCTCAATGCCCCCCCTGGGGCCTTGGCCCCCAGGTTGGGAACCCCTGCACTAAGTTGTTTCATGTGGACCGTATGAGGGAAGGGGACTGTGTCCAGGGTTTGCTGAGGCTATCTCTGGTCGTTTCGCAGCACTCGGCAATCTGATTGATGCAGCTCGAGAATCGACTGGCGAACGCCCAAGGGCAAGGCAGAATTTCATATTGCAGGAGACATAGATGTCTGTCGCACGGCTCATCTGACAGAGGATCGTGACTTGCATCGTTCCATGTTGAAATAGGACAAGGAACAATTTATCAGGGGTCGAAGGTCTACCAAGCCTTGAGAAAGTTGAACTTCAAGCCCTTCTCACAGGTGACTGCAATCCGCTCAGTAAGTTGCCAGATCAGCTAAGATCCTATTGGGGTGCAGGAGCGTCGGGCTGAGTATTTTGAATAGTTGTACCAGGTTGAACACCAACAGTTAACTTGGCTGCGAGTAATGCAAGATCCCTTTACCGGACCCACTCATCAGCGAGGATTCTTCCTGAAGTAAGAGGATCTCCAAGCTGAAGAATGGTAAAGCAGCGGGTATCTGCGGCATCCCAGCTAAACTGTTAAAAGACGGTGGCGAACCTATGACGTTGGGTTTGCATGCTGACCTGGATGCCATCTGGCAAACAGGTACCATTCCCCCATACTTGTTAAGGGGTGTGGTCTCTGGGAGGGGAAAGGGGATCGATGTGACTGCAACAATCATCGAGGCATTATACTGCTCACATCCTTTTGAAACGTATCATAAACCACCTGCAGAGGCATCAGAAGCCGGAGCAATCTTGATTCATTCCTGATAAGTCAAAAATGGCCCGTGTCTTGGCGTTTTGTCATTGTAGAACGCCGTCATGAGTTCGGACATTGGCTGCTTGCAGCTTTCATTGACCTCAAAAAGGCTTTCAGTATGGTGTATCGGAAATCACTGAGACTGAGAGGAATCCCAACAATGATTATTGGGTTAATAGTAGGCCTATATACTGATACTGAAAGTGCTGTAAAGTGTTAATTTATAAGTGAGGAAAGGCTGTGTTCTTGCACCAATACTTTTCAATACTTGCATGGACTGGATACTGGGCAAGACTACCGTCCAAAGTTAATGCGGAGCAACTCTGGCCAATATAAAGGTTAGCGACCAAGACTTTGCTAACGATGTTGATATCTTATCTGAGTCTCTGGAAACCCTAGCTCTAGATGCATTTACCAATTAAGCAAAACCCCTGGGTCTAGAGGTCTCCTGGACTAAGACTAAGATCCTGAACTATGGAGACTTGCTAGAAGAACCTGTTCGGTCGTTATGTGCTTCTGACGAGGATATTGAAGTCACAGAGAGCTTTACTTATCTTGGTAGTGTAGTTCATAACTGGGCCTGTCAGACCAGGAAGTCAGAGGTCATGAACTCTCTCGCCAACTCTTTGGAAATGCTGGTACCTATGCAGAAGTATCAAGCTACGTGTCAAGGTACTAATACTGCCAGTTTCACTATACTGTAGTGAAAGATGGATGCTATCCTGTGCCTTGAAATTTCGTCTTGATGCCTTTTGTAATACGTCCTTGTAGCGGTTCAATGGGTACAGTTGGCGGGACCACGTATCCATCCAACAGCTACACCATGAGACTGGTACAGGACCTATTACTTGCACAATCTGAGACCACCAACTCAGGCTACACACACACCTGGCTCATTTCCTACAGGAGGATCCTACCCACCAGATTGTCTCTGTTCGAGACACCCCTAGGTGGAGGAGGCCTGTCAATTCGTGGCTTAGGTAGATTGACAAGGCCTGTCGTGAGGAGCTAGAGATGGGTCGTATCGGGCTGGCGGCGCTAGCCCTCCAATGATTATATATATATATATATATATATATATATATATATATATATATATATATATATATATATATATATATATGTGTGTGTGTGTGTGTGTGTGTGTGTGTGTGTGTGTGTGTGTGTGTGTGTGTGTGTGTGTGTGTGTGTGTGTGTGTGTGTGTGTGTGTGTGTGTGTGTGTGTGTGTGTGTGTGTGTGTGTGTGTGTGTGTAGTGGCTGGTAGACTAAGAGGAAGAGCCAAGTCTATAGCTCTTGTATCCGTATTGAATGTCAAGGTCTGCTTATTATGTTACATTGTAGTTTTTCTATCATGCAAGTAGGCTGTTTTTTTTTTTTACAGAAATTTATAGCTTCTGCGTAGCATGGATCTAGTACAGAGTTCAGTTCATATGTCACGTTCTTGTTGGGTCTATTCTTAGGCTGGGCTGAGGTAGTTACTTTTCCGATTATTGATGACCTTTCCCGACCCAGCACTGATATCTGAATGCGTAAAATGTAAATATGTTTTGCTTGTTTGGTACTTGTAATATTTTGCTTTAACATTTAATGTGCTTTTTATGGGTAAAAATCTTTATTCTACACTGTCATGGTTGTTAATAAAAATATATATACCTTATCACTGCAATATCTATGGGCCTTTATGCAGTAAAAATTGCAGGGGGAGGGTTATTAGGTGGGGGCGCTGACACGAAACGAGTCAATGCAGTTTGAACATTTTTTGTATAGCAACCATCTAATTGACTAGCCAGGGTTATAGTTGAACACACACACCAAATATTCCCAAAGGACACACACACTTCATTTGGGTTGTACAGTCATCCCTCTGATGCACATAAATAAGTACGAGCATGACACACACACGATCATTTTTTTCTGTTTCATCACAGCAATACCATGGATTGCACAAACTACTGCATCATATCTTTTCGGTGATCTCCCAACTTTAGCATGGATTTTCACCTGTATTTGTAATAACTTCCACAAAATACCAATCAAATATGTGCTTAATAAACCCTGTAGTCCATAAACAGATTGTTCTGGGTAAAACCAAGACAGTGAAGGACTGATCTTAGTCTTACAATAGCCTAAAAAATGTATACAAATATGTTACATTTAGTTGAACGATTGCATAGAATCTCCTTTGTCAATACTATTCACAGATCTCATTTGTAACATTGGAATGGTTTAATATTTCTTTTCTTTGTGCCGGTATACTGTAGGCACATGCACTAGAACCCTTTTTAAAAGGCTTTTAGCGACCATCACCAAGACATGCATGTTAATATGTAGACAATTGTTGTGTATATATTATGTATTGTGCATTTGTGTTGTATGTTTGTGTTGTGTGTGTGTGTGTGCGTGTGCGTGTGCGTGTGCGTGTGTGCGTGTGCGTGTGCGTGCGTGCGTGTGCACTTGCTTGCTTGCTTTCTTACTTTCTTTTAATGAGGGGTAGGTGCTAAAATCAAATTATGCTGTCTACTTACGTTTTTATTAAAAACACTTTCCATATTGTACATAAAAATACAAGCTCTAGCAATTTTTTTTTATGTTAGGTCTTTACCAACAGCAATCACAATTCGTCAGATAAGACAAATTTTGAATCCATTGCAGAGGCAAAACAATATTTACATTCAGTAGTTGAGGAAGGGTCCAGCCACTGAGACATGAACCTTCCAAACCTGTAAATCAGGTGCAGCTTTGTACAGAAAGTCATCACAGAGCAGAAAATAGACTTTTGAGAAGATCTGAGGTCTGACATTCTAGAAGTGTTGACAAGAAACAAGGTCAAAGAAGTCGGTCAAGAAATGAGGAATATAATATTTTTTAAACTTTTGTATGAGATGAGAAAGATGTCCATACAAGTGAATATCAGCACCTGTTATATTTTGACCTGAATAATAGTGCAATAAGAAATGAATCCTAATAGATTCATCTTATCTGAATCAAATAACATAGGACAATACTTAAAACAAAATGAAAAACTGAAATTACTAACATTACTAATGATGATCCTTCAGCAGAAACAATGGAGCAAGTTAAAATGAAATGACTCGATACATAACAGTATTCCATGAATTTAAGATTGATAATGTTATCATACGTTCACTGTTGCTAGAGTCAAGTTAGTGCCTCACTACCACCACAAACAATGGCCAGAGTCAAATCAGTGGAGTTTTTTTTTTTTACCACCATGAACATTAGCAGTAGTTTACACATGTGGTCATCTCCACCAACCTTACACTAAAGCAATAACTGAAAAACCCTCCACTTCCTCTATTCTACAGATGGTGTGACTTGCCTGGAGGGTTTCATGTTACACAACAGATAATTTTTATTATAAAAACATGAAGAAGCTTCTTAAATTCTACATTAACAAATGTCAAAAATTACACGTAAAACTTACACAAAAAAGTTATGAGCACGTGTTTTTGGTTCTGGGCCAACCCTCCAGCCAGCCTCATACACCTTGATGAGTGAACAATTTTCAGTTCCATGCCCACAGTGTATAGGAAACTATAGAAGGCAATAGGTGATGTGGTATCTACCACATTTATATATTAGGAATATTTCATGATGGTTAGTTAGAATTATGTACAGCTGATAAAAATTCAATGTTACACAAATCTGAAATAAAATATAACAATATGTGAGAAATATCTGAGCAGTTCAAGTAAGATTATTCACTGGGATGTGATTAGCTGATGGTGCTAGTATACCAATTAAAATACTAACATACTTTAGTACAAAATTAATAAGCTAGGGACTGGGTGTACCCAGATGATTTAGGTTCTTCTCCTTGACCACTTAGATTTTTACTTAAATTCCAAATCTACAAAACAGAAAAAAAACTATTATATGTCTTCTGTACAATAAGAAGAATAATACATCCCTAAACTGAAGTTTTCTTATTATCAAAATAATATTAGCATGTGTACAGAGCACCCGTTCCCACCCTACAACAATGAGGATCTGTCCCTGCCAAAAAGTAAAGAAGATATCTTGACATCAATATCTTCAAAAGCTCTGTTTGAAAAGTATCACTATGGTCATAATAATCACTTTTGATGAAAATTACACAAATGTGACTGCATCCTTTCCAGGTGTCTGAAGAGCTAAGCAGACACTAGATGATCACAAGACAAAATCCATAAATGCTACTTACAAACTGCTTTGTATTTCTGAATAAAAATAATTTGTAATGATTCAACCATATCCTGTTCTGGGATATTTCTATTTTTAGGGAGGTATCCTAAAATCACAAGACTGGGATGAAGAAAGAGCTACAAGAACTCAAAAATATCACATTTTAATGTTTTCCCTTGACAAATTAAATGTTATTCTTCCAACTAATTGGTAACTACATTTACAATGTAGTCAAAAGACAATATACCTAAAAAGGAAAAAAAAATAATCCCTTAAAACTGTGCATTCCTTAGATCTCCTAAGGTAGTAAGGAAATGATAATGAACCATTCTAGATTCTGTATACCTCTGGCCTTCAAACTAATATCAAAGATTTATGATATTAACATCAAATGTACTTTGTCTGTGTTGTACTCAACCAATAGGATATAACGATTTCGAGTTTAGTGTACAGCAAACTGTTTGCACAAAAACAGTGTGTGTCAGATGCCATCTATAAAACATTCTGCCTTTTTAAATAATCATTTTTACAACAACATAGTACAAACAAACCTCACATGCATTTTTACTAATATACAGTACACTTGGGCATCAGTGCCAATCTCTCCAACACAGAATTCACAATTTATAAAGAACTATCCTTTAAGGTAATAAAAAATATGTATCAGATTCAACAAAATTAATTGTTAATTTAGTTTACATATTTCTTTCCATCCTTACAATCAAGTGGAACTATTCATGAAACCATATATATATTCTGTATATGGTAACCAACCAACAAGGCAAGTTAAACAGAGGCAAACACATTACGTCCACCTCAACATGGGGGACCTGACACTGTGATTCCAATTGCCGGGTAGCAAGGATATGACATTCTTTCAGTTTCAATGTAAAAGCAAGTAAAGGAAGAATTTCAATGGAACTTTTTTTTTTTGCTCTAAAATATCTTGAGCTGTGACAAAACAAAAAATTCAAAATACCTGTATTTTAATACCAAAACGAGATCTTGTGGAGTGTGAGTGGGTGAGTGAATGAGTGAATGTGTATGTAATTTTGTGTGTGTGTGTGTGTGTGTGTGTGTGTGTGTGTGTGTGTGTGTGTGTGTGTGTGTGTGTGTGTGTGTGTGTGTGTGTGTGTGTGTTTGTACGTGTATGTGTTTGTGTTTGAGCATGTGTGCGTGTGTGTGAGAGAGAGATGTGCACACATGTACAAGATGTGCACACAGACATGTTGATCCTAAAAATTAGTGCTTGTGTGTGTGTGTGGACATGTATATTTATCTATCTATATACATATATATTTACATACACATATATATATACCATATATATATAAACATGTACATAAAATATCCATTCACTTACACAAACACCCATAAGTGTTCTGTTTGTATGCGATTTACTCGAGTTATCATCACAGCCTTTTAAACTAAAAACATTGCTACCATAAGCAAGTTTAATCAATGTCTCTTTCAGTTTTGCAGACCCAGGTAAACGAGCAGTGAGCAAAATGCAGCTAAAACTTGATTAACTGAGGCCCGCTTCATTTTCATGGATAAAATGTTAAATTAGCAGCCATAATTCACTATTGTGAAACAACCCATTTACACTGCATTTCATCTATCATATATGTACTATGACTCAGCTTTAAGAAACAACAAGAAACCAAATTTATGTGGTATGTGATGGATAGAACAACAATAACAAAACATTCAGTGCCACTGAACAAAGACATCAGCACCATGAACTAGTTTTATCAACAATTCTGATGAGCACAGCAATGTTTAGCAGCACTGCAGCACATCTGGCAGAAGTGCACTGTATGAAGCCAAGCCAAGTCTTTCTAACGTATAACAGTGATGGAGATTTCAGATTTGTTTTCATGCCATTAAAAGTGAATCTTTGTCTAGATGATGAGGCAGTATGGCAGGGTTGGTTGGCTTGCTCACTGCTTGGGGTCATCCTTCCCTCTTGGTTTGTTACTGGAGCTTGGGTCCATGCCTTGAGCAGTGGAGGAGCGAGGGACCAACAAGATACTCCCGTCAGCAGACTGCTGCAGTGAATATTCATGTGGAGAGTATGGATTGCCATCAGGATCACGCAGACTCTGAAATTTTAAGGAAAAAAATCAAAGAATTAAAAGTTATCAAACACAAATGAAAAATCCATAAAGAATGAAAAAATGTGACACTACCTCGTATCTCCTGAATTTCACCATTTGTCTGTATTTATAATATAAACTTACCTGGAATATGTGTCGGTACAATAGTGAGAACTTGTGTTTAATACGGGTTCGTTCTGAGCTCAAGTATTCATACTCATTGTACAGCTCATTTTTGCGATTCTGAATGGCTTTCACTTCATCTGCTAAGTGAAGGATTTGATCCAGCTTCCGTTTACGACAATTTTGAGCAGCAACCTGTCACAAGAAAACTAAATGAGCAAAACACACCCAAAGCAAGTAAATACATTAAGTCTCATCACCATTAAAGACGGGAATATGATTCTCATTTTAAAATGTCCAAGAAATTTACTTGATAAGCACATCATAGATGTAGCTACATAATATACTGCAGGTGGGCAGTACTTCCTTGATATGTTTTCTCCTCCAGCCAATTTTTAACATACAAACCAAACACATCTATTCAGGAAAGATTAAAAATCAAGTACTGCCTGTGACAGTAGTGGTAAAAAAAACTAATAGTGGAATCTTTTGTGGAAAAAAAGACATCTCAAATAATATTTGAATAAGTACCACTAAAGGCAGCTCTAATGATTCTAAAGCTATTTTCCCTTGTGGTTATAAAGTCAATGAGTTTGTGTATGATAAAATTCCTTAAAATGCAAATAATCTAATGGGATTGCACGACATAGAACACCTTACCTTGTTCTTGCCACGCCGTCGGATGTCTCGGATAAGAGAAAGCTGTGCCTCAGTTAGGTCGTATTTGGAGATCCGCTCATTGAACTCATCCATGGGGAGGTTGATGATGTCCTCACAGGAGATTGGCAGGTTCATCGCTCTGGCTCGCTTCTCATCTCTTGTGAGTGCCCGGTCATGCTCATTCTTCCGATCTGTTTTATGATTTAAAATGTTAAGAAATGGATAGAAACAGGGGGAGGAGAAAAAACAATTTACTAATCAATCAATCAATCCCAAGGCTATATCAAAAATCTGAATTCACAACCAAGATATATAAGCCTTACTTTTTTGTTTGTCTCTTGATGTTGGGCGTGACATACCCGATGGCCCCTCAGGGGACATGTGGTATGTGTGGTTGTGCTGAACATGTTCCACTCCTGACCCTGACACCTCTGCAAACAGAACATCAAAATAGTTAGATAATATATTACAAATGTTCAAACACATTTTACAACTAAAAACTATAAAGATCCCTAAAACATATTGATAAATCATAATGAAAAAAGGAGAGCAAAATTAACATTTACACTTCCACACAGAGCAAACCTGTGTGGTAACCATAAACGGCATTAACAAAAATTGATTAAAATTCTAATCCCGGCACATGTTGTTTTGCTTTTATTATTATGTAAGCTCATGTACGAGAATAGGAGTGGCCTTGAATATTTTACACTGGGTTGTTGTGGTTCTGCTGCACTTCACAGTTTAGTTAATAAATTTAATCCTCAAGAGTTTCCTTAATTTTATTTTAAAATAAGATACTGCATTTTCTGACATGCTAATCTAAATAATCATAATAATAACAAAAGTAATAACTAATAGTAACTATAATAATAATAATAATAAAAATGACAACGACAATAGCTATAACAACACCATTACTACTAATGATAATTATATTAATCATCATAAGATAATAATAATAATAATATAATAATAATTAATAAAAAAACACAAAAAAAAAAAAAAAAAAAAAAAAATCACAATAATGAGAGAGAGAGAGAGAGAGAGAGAGTGAGAGAGAGAATAAAAAGTATGATATTAAATAGCACTAGTAAATACAATGATACCAATATAAATGATCATCCCCTAAGAAGTTTGAAAGAAAATGAAAAAGAAAAAATCGGAAGGAAGAAGGATTTCCTGTTCACATGCAGACCTGAGAGGCTGGAAAGGCATCCTTCCTATATGTAGCATCCTGATCTCTCATGCTCATCCCTAGCCTAATTTTATGGTCATTATTAAGCTCACTATCATTATTAATAATATTACTATGATTGTTATTATCATCATCATTATTACCATCGTTATTGCTTTTCTATACATTCTACTAGGTATTTCTTGTGTATATTGCCAAGGATGCCACATATTTACATACCAAGTTGATTATAATTTTTGTTCCTATATTTTGTTTACACAGATGACCCCAGAAGTGCTTAGTCATACCTATCTTATCTGTTTAGTCTTTTCCTTGACTTTCATATATACTATTTTTCATTTTGTTATTGGTATTAGTATTCTTAATAACAGCATAATAATAATCATACTGTTAACAGCAACAATAATGAAAGTATCAATATCAATAACTTTACAAAAAATGAATTCTCAAAACCTCATGGACTTTACAAAACAAAACTACAGTAGACATTACAAGTCCCTGGCTGGTTTACATTACAGGCAGTCAATATAATCAATGCATACCTAAATTCAAATATAATAACATATAAATCAAATTCTTTAACAATGGATTACTGATAAAATTTCAGTTTCATACAGAGGTAGAATGATAAAGTTGAAGTAATATTTCTTCTGTGCACGCTGGCCAAAGCCAACAAGCTTCCACACCCATGTCCTAGCTGGATAGTAGGGTCATTATTATGCCAATGAAAGATATTCTACTTATATTTGGGTATTTTTTTCTAATAGTTCTGCCAAACGGATTGTGATGGTTTTGGTATGATTGGATTCCTCTCACTCCCTAGTTTCCGAATATATAGAAATTGTACCAGGGGCATTGCGGGGAAAAATGTGATAAAAATACACAGAATCAGTCACTACACTGTCTCATGCTGGAGGCTGTGCCTAGTGCAATAGAAAATATGGTGACTGCTGTCCCCCAACCCCAACCCATATAAAAAAAATCCTCCATGTATTCATGGCAGGAGAGTGCATATGACCACAACGCAGGAATGCCATTGCCAAGGAAGGCTTTCCAATGCTCTCTCCTACTGTGAATACGTGGATTCTTTGTTTTCCAAGGTGAGGGTTGGGGGCGGCAGCACCCCATGGGATAGCAAGGGGCACAAACCCCTGCAGTAGTCAATATAATGACTGATTCTGTGTAGATTATCTTTATTTCCCCCCGTGATTTCCTGGCATCTTTCATGCCCTCCTCTATTATTGGGGCCAAGCTTGTTGTTACTAGGGTGGTTTCTGCACAATAAATTCTACATAATTACATTGTAGACAGTGAAAAGAATCCAACAATACCAATAAGGTCGCGATTAGTTTGATGGAACTCTTAGAAAATATTACCGATATTTGTTTTTATCTATTTTACAATTACATATGTTTTTCCACAATCATTTTGCAGCAACACTGAAAAATTTATAATTCATCACACTATCTATACCATGCACTGCCAACTTCATACTATAAACGGAATAAATATTCATTACCTGGAATTAATTTGGCATATTTGGTAAAAAAACTGAAGGATTTGCGCACTTCAGTCTGGCAGACAGCAGGAGGGCTATCCTCGCTTCCGCCCATCCTGCCTGTCTGCTTCTCACATCCTCTCACCACAAAAACTGTTTAGTTTGCCCCTACGCTAAAGCTCCCGGGCGCGTGTGGATCTTTGTTTCTTTGCAGTATTTATTACAAGCTAGTATATATTGCATACAAGTCTCAAAACCAATCTCTTTGGTAACAGTTAACTCTGAGTAAATTGCCAACTTTTAAGATGTTGAAAGGCCTTGTTTGAGGCCCATACTATTGTTATATTGCAGAAAAATGTGAAAATAGGTTAAAGTCTTTAAAGTCACTTTCACACCACAAAAATCTTTCCTATTAGCACTCCAGAAACTGTTCACAAGGTCATAAAAATAACAAGCAAATTGTGCTTGATCTTCAAAAGCGAACAACCTCTACAATGAAATTTAAGCTCCATCAGTTATCACAAGTAATCACAGCCAGATCTGCACCCGCGCACAGGGCACGGCGCCGTCCCTGTCCTGCGGTCCTGCAGGAGGCGCCTTGAGCAACGACGGAGGAGGAGCGAGACGTGCGGAGAGTCTTCGGCGAGGGCGCGGACGGGCACCAGAGGGCCTGCTGTGGCACTGGCAGGCGGACAGCCGTTCCCTCGTGCCAGAACTAGGCGGTGGTGGCAGCCAGGCCCCAAGAGCGACCCGTGATGAGCCCGTCTCTCTTACTACTGGCCGATGACTCAGCACTTCTCAGCCCCCGTGGCCACCACCACCATTCACTTCGATCCGCTCGCTTTTCCTGTCCTCCGGGAAAGCACGGGGCTGTACTTGAGTTCTCACGGGTCTCATCGCCCGCCCAAGTATTATGCCATCGCGAATTAAGGGTGCCACGATCGTCGTGTACAGGAAATCTGGCTCCGAGCGCGAAGCGATCACTCGGCACTCTTGTTTACCTCAACACTGACAGATACCAACTCATCAATTTTCTTTTCATCACGCGGTGCAATTTCTCCCGTTATTCCCTCTTCTAGTTCACGACCAAATAAAAGCGAAGATGCCAGGGCTCTAAACAAGCAACAGTGTGCGTCCCTTCTTTGTTCCCATTCCCTAATTCGGAAGGAAATTTCTCTCAATAAGAACAGTCGTCGGCAACCCCGCCCGCCATGCGCGCCATCTGTCCTCACCCGCCGGAACTATAAATGTGCAACGTCATCGTAGGTTGGCACCGCATGAACTCTCATTCTGGGCACGCATTAAAGAAGACTGTGAATTACATTTTCATCCCTGTCAAGTCATCATCTTGCCATGCTGTTACATCCTACATCAAGCAGAGCAGAAGCTGTCATTCTCTTTGCAACAACGACTCTTACTAATCTACAGAGCACGGACGTTTCCATAGCAACCATTGGCAACAGACGACGTGCATTGGAGTCATCTGTACTAGGTACCCTTGTGCCAAATCAATCAAGAATAACACAAACTGACTAACTAGGCCATCAAACCCAACCTCATCCAGCTAATCAATATCCCACTTCTGACGTGTTACTTGCGGGGAAAATGAGGCGCATCCCCTTTGGGATCAACAAAGACAAAGACTTCTCCACACAGAGAAAAACCGTCGTTCGCACAAGGGAAACGAGAGCAAGAAGACAGCGCCATGTCATGCATAATCACACGACGACGAAGGCGCCATATTCCAAGTCATGGCTGGGGCTCACTTATCTCTTGCCCCCCCCCCCCCCCAATCGTCGCCCGTCCACAACCCCTTCCCCTCCTCCCCTCCCCTCCCCAGAAACACCTGCTATTTCTCTGGATAGTAATCGTCTTCGGAACATAACATTTGTTTCTCAATGGTCTCGAGAATGACGGCAAAGAGGATATGAGAAAATAATTTGAAAGGGAGGGAATATGAAAAGTGGGAGAGAAAATGTGTGGGCTGTTGAGAGATGAAAGAGAAAGAAAGGAGAGGGCGGGGTAGACAGATTGAGAAGGGAGCATGACAGAGAGAAAGAAGGACGGCAGAGAGAGAGAGAGAGAGAGAGAGAGAGAGAGAGAGAGAGAGAGAGAGAGAGAGAGAGAGAGAGAGAGAGAGAGAGAGAGAGAGAGAGAGAGAGAGGGAGAGAGGGAGAGAGGGAGAGAGGGAGAGAGAGAGAGGGAGGAGGGAGGGAGGAGGGAGAGGAAGGAGGGAAGGGAGGGAGGGAGGGGAGGGGAGAGGAGGGAGGAGGGAGGGAGGAGAGGGAGGGAGGGAGGGAGGAGGGAGGGGGAGGGAGGGAGAGGGAGAGAGAGAGAGGAGAGAGAGAGAGAGAGAGAGAGAGAGAGAGAGAGAGAGAGAGAGAGAGAGAGAGAGAGAGAGAGAGAGAGAGAGAGAGAGAGAGAGGTGGGGGAAGGGAGGGGAGGGAGGGAGGGGGGGAGGGGAAGGAGGGAGGGAGGGAAGTAAGGGGAGAGAGAGAGAGAGAGAGAGAGAGAGAGGAGAGAGAGAGAGAGAGAGAGAGAGAGAGAAGAGAGAGAGAGAGAGAGAGAGAGATAAGAGAGAGAAGAGAAGAGGAGAGAGGAGAGAAGAGAGAATGCAGAGAGAGAGAGAGAGAAGAGAGGAGAGAGAGGAAGAGGAGAGAGAGAGAGAAGAGAAGAGAAGAGAGAGAGAGAGAGAAGAGAGAGAGGAGAGAGAGAGAGAGAGAGGAGAAAGAGAG